ATGAGGAAAAATTATAGCAGTATTGCATTTTTCATAATTTGTATACCTGTTAATTATGTGGTAACAATTATAACCAACACAGTCACTTAGCCATTTGTCTTCCTTCAACTGCAAAGCCAAATATTTAAAAATGACTTATATAGCTATCAGAACTATTTTCAATAATTTTATTTCTCATATTGTAATTTTGGAGTATTGGAACAGGCTATGAATAATCTGCACTGAAGCTATCGCCTTTGTTCCAGTGTCCTGTTTCCTTTTCTGAATTCCAATATGTATAGACTAAAGTAGATTTAGAAATAGAAAATTAAACTTGTGAAGTGCATATATCATACATAATCTCTCAATAAATTAACCTTGAACTATAATAGGAAATATGCAAAAATATACTTGAATAAGGCATGAGGGAAAGCATATTGAACAATGCTAATCATATAAGAATTACATTTTCATATCCACAGTCAAATGAAATTATTTAAATAAAGTAAAATTTCAAAATCCTTCGGTGTAATAGCAACAAAAATATAACAGCAATAACAAATGAGAGGAAGAAAGGAAAGGAAAGAAAAAAGACGGTGAAGAGGGGAGGATAGGAGAGAAGTGGGAAAGAAGACAGATATTTGAAATTAGACAGATTAAAAGGAAACTACATCCCTTAAATTACATGATTTTTAAAATAATGAAGTAGTTCTCAGTTCTATTATTAAACAACTGAAATAAAAACTAATTATTTTGGGGGGGGAGGGGTCCGGTCGTGGGGTCTGAACTCTGGGCCTGGGCTCTGTCTCTCAGCTCTTCAGCTCAAGGCTAGCACTCTACCACTTGAGCCACAGCGCCACTTACGGCTATTTTTTTTCTGCTTATGTGGTGCTGAGGAATTGAACCCAGGGCCTTAAGCATGCAAAGCAAGCGCTCTACCACTGAGCCACCGTCCCAGCCCTAAAAACTAATTTCTTTTTTTTTTTTTTTTTTGGGTCCGGTCGTGGGGCCTGAACTCTGGGCCTGGGCGCTGTCCCTCAGCTCTTCAGCTCAAGGCTAGCGCTCTACCACTTGAGCCACAGCCCCACTTCCGGCTTTTTTCTTTTTGCTTATATGGTGCTGAGGAATCGAACCCAGGGCCTCATGCATGCAAGGCAAGCGCTCTACCACTGAGCCACCTTCCCAGCCCCTAAAAACTAATTTCTTAAGACCACATAATCTTAATATATCATGGATCATGTCTATCAAGATAGTATCTCATACTATATCCATCAAAAAATTCAGGAAATTACATGCTAAGTAATATTAACTTATTACTGGAATAGTTTTAATTATCTCTGCACTGGAGTTCAGTTGTAAGGCCAGGAGCAGAGCATTGTAGGCAGCAAGACAAAATGCAATGAATCACTGAATTCTGAGAGAGGCAAAAACTGTTAATTTTATAAAACAGAATGTGGTATAAAATTGGATTAAACTTTTCAAGTTATCCCATTAATAATTTGTGATATAGAAGAATGTTATCTGTCTTTCTAAAAGCAAAACAGTGGTTCTGAAATAGGTTATCTTTAGAGTTCTTACCAGCTTTCAATTTCCATACTCAAAGTCTACAATTTGATCTGAGGATTCTGAGCAGAGTTGCCATCGGTGGTAGGTACAGTTTAGTTTATGTGTATTTTAATCTAGTAGAATGGAAAAAATAGACCAAATTAAAGACAGATGCACAGACACCACTAGACTTCATTAAGGTTAGCCCTGTGGAGTAATAGACACAATGATGTCTAATCATCTACCAGCCAAAGAAAACAAAGAAGATAAATGAAAATTTACAATACATCAAATTGACTCACAGAAGATAAAAATGGTCTAAGATGTCCCTTCAACAACTGAGCCTCAAAATTGTTCTACATTCTAAGACTTGCTCTTCTAAAGCACAAGGGACCTTTCCATAGTAGGACCTCACAAAGACAGTAGATACACACAGAGGAAAGAGATGGCCCCAAACTATCAGATTTTGTTTTTCAGAACCTCAATTCTTCCATAAAACAATCATTTCCATATATAATTAACTGTGTCCAATCATACATAGTAGTATATGATTTCTCAAATTCTGATTAAAAGGGTTAGAAGAATACTTAATAATCATTAATGTAGATATCATAAAATTATGGAAGATTATGCTTCAGACTTAGACTGCTAACTTCTTATTCATTTATGTTGACTCAAACTTAAATCTTGATTTGCAGAAACATTACATAGATGTATGCTTGTTTCATTTATGTGCATACTGTCCATGGATTTGGATTATTCTTTTACAATATTATTTACATATTACACTGGTACTGGGGCTCATACTCTGGGACTCATCAAGACCTCATGCTCTAACTTGTTTTGCTCATGGCTGGAGCTCCACCCCTTGAGCTATGCCTCCACTTCTACCTTCTTGCTAGCTACTTGGAGAGTCCTGGATTCTTCTGTCTTGTTTGACTTTGAATTTAATCCTCAGATCTCTGTGTCCACTGTAGCCAAGATTAAGGCATGAGCCACCAGCAACTGGCTTTATTTTCATTTAAATCCTGACAGCACTTTCACAGGCTTACAAAAATAAGATTGATTTTTGTTCAAAAAGATAGAGAAGAAAATTATTCTCTCAAATTATTACTAGCCTTGTTCCTTTCTACTTGTTATACTACTTTAAGTTCCGTATACATTTTTCACATTTCTCCAAAGAAGAACAGAACTACTAGAAATCATATCCACCAAAAGTGAAATTGACCAAATATAAAATTCTTTTGAAATATAACTATTAACATACAAATAGTCGCACACTATTTCTATGCAAATCTTATGCACTATGATGGCTCTTGGATGAAAATAATCATAATTTAACAAGGATAAATTGCTTTAAAAATGTCTAGCTGGGCACTGTTGGCTCACACCTCAAATCCTAGTGCCTCCATCTTTAATTAGCCAACAAAAATGCCACACTGAATGCATGAGTTAAGTGGCAGAGCACCAGCTATGAGCAAGAAAGTTAAGTAGGGCTGTACTTGCATAAAAATCAATAATAATAATAATATCAATTAAAATTTGTCTTTGAAAATAACGTATTTGGATTTTTGTTGATGAAATCACTGTTTTCCATTCAGTATTGTAAAATATTATCAATCTAGTTAGTTATGTTGTATAATGCCAATCAAAAAGCAAAACAGCTTGCCTTTTCAATCAATTGACAAATATGACTTATTATATGGTAATTATGCAATTACTTCATGTAATACAGGGTTCATAATTTTATATTGTAGCTACAGTACCTTTATACATTTAAGTTCCCCTTTTAATTTTAAGTGTTCTTTAACACTAGATAATATCTGAGTTCTTTCATTATAACGTTGAGAAAATATTATATCTTTTCCTGCAAATCTAGTCCAACGGCTACCTAGTGATGCTTTGGTAACTGACTATTCAGACATTTTCCCAGGTAGTTGACATACAGCTGATACAAATTAAAAACACTTGACACATAATTGACTCTATTTTTTATATATTCACTTATTTGGAGGGGGAATGTTTATATTACTGAAATAGTTATGAAACTTCTGGTGACTTTAAAGAATCTGCTATTTCTGAAATGGTAAAAAGGAAGATGTGAGAAGCAGCTAAATCTCAGGTACCCTGGTGATACCCTTAAATGGTCTATGTTTTCATTTCCCTTGTTTCTTTCTTTTCCTTGTAAGTTAGTAGAGATTCCCCACAGATTTATCACTATATTCTTATGAAGTAATATGTACATATCTTAATATCATGAAGTAATTGTTGATTATTCACTCATTAGTATGAATCCATTCATATGTGAGATAACTGTTAATTCTTTAGTATGAAGCCATTCAACTGAGGTATTTGTTGAACACAGAGACTGAGTCCTTTTGTAGTTTAAAACACATCTAAATTTAGAGGAGAACTGAAGTAAATTCATTTTCAAAAATTATGCAAGCTGAAAAATACATGGGACTCTCATAGATTATAAAGTCCTGAAGAAGAGATAGACATTTGGATGGGAACACAGAAGAGTGGGATCCTGCTTTACCTCATTCCTCCTAATGCAGTGTTACGTCACAGACATCTCTGACGCCACTGTTTCTTAATGAAAGACTTCAGGCTTCAAGTAATGACAGAATAGGATGAGATTCAAAGCCGTATCAAGATCATCAAATATCAACCATTTCTAAAACATGCTAGATAAACTTCCTCATAAAATATAAGCAAATATTGGCCTCTTCCTTCTTTTTATTTAAAAATTTCCTTCCAACGTCCCTTAAATCTAGAACTCTGCTAACAATATATTCTATCTCTATTGCATAAATTGCAGAAAAATTTGTATGGTCCTATTAAAATTAAATTTATATACACACCAAAAATATCGAAATATTGAAACAAGTCCACATCATTAACCACGAAATGTGCAAAAAGAAATTTTAAAAACCTTTTAATTTTTAAAAGCCTCTTGGAGATAGGAGGTACGTCCCCATCAAAGCCAGCATAGAATTCTCTGTTACTGGTTGAAATTATCTTCTTTCGCATCATCACTTCTAAAGAATCAAACAGATAATCAATAGTTAATGTGGGGGAAAAGTTAAGCAAGTTCCTAAAAAATGTATATTTCTAACAACCAAAGTTTTTCTAAAGTTTCAGTGAAATAGCCAAAATTCTTACTTGTTTGCCATATCATTGTTTTAATTTTATGCGAACCACAAAAAAGTAATGTAAATAGAATACATACTCAGTATAAAATACTGGGTCTCTTTGTACCTACACGTAATTTGGGTTTTTAAATGTACGATGAAAACATAAACTTCTCATTACCAATTAAGGACACAAAGAAGAAAAACAGGATGACAAATGTGGTAGAGCTCTTGCCATAGCTGGTTCTTTATAATCATAAAAGAAAGTGTATATTTATACATTTGGAGGTCACAGTGAGCTTCACTTATTGACTGTAGTGTTGACTCTTCCCACATTGGCAGCCAAGCCTACCAATCACCGGCCTGCAGACAGCTCCGTATCCACCGGCTCCTCTGGCAGCAGCTTTGGCAGTGGGTATAGTGTGGACAGTGAAGGAAGCAGCGGCACTGCAGGGGAGACTAATCTATTTCCTATTCCAAGGATGTAAGTGTCTTTTGCTTAACTACAAAGTTAACAGTATCATGAGTAAGAGGTTCTTAACATTTAACCGGAAATAACTACAGAATTATCCAATTCTGAATCATTGTACTTGAAACTTTTGAACTGTTTATGTCTACCTAAAAATAGATTACTCACAATAGATTAGATTCATTCGGTTAATTCTAAAGATGACTAGCAGCCACTACCAGCACTGCATTTAATGTAGAATCTGCAGAATAACAATAATGTCTTAATCACAAAAAATGACCACGATGTTATTGTTATTGAGATAAAGAGTCTAATTTACTTTGAACAGCAAGACATTTAAACAAACGCAAAGAATGTATGTCATCTTTGAAACAGATGACACATTAGACTAATTATACGCATGTTTCTGTTGTAAATCTATGTTAAAATGAAAGGTTTTGAAGTGTTACGGTAACTTCTAAAGGAAATCCCAGGTAGTATATATGTCATCGAGCCAGATCTCCTGGAATAAAACTCATTAATTGTATATTGAACCTCAAGAAAATAATTTTGCACATCAAATGAAAAACTAAAGCAGATTGTGTATAGAATGTTAGAAAAGGTTTAGGTTTAATCAAGTTGATAGCAAAAGTTAGCAGCATTCACAATAAATATGTAGGTTATATCTGAATCTATATCAAATCTAAACTTCTACAACTTTCCTTCTCATTGACAGTCCTATGAGTAATGAAACCACTAGATCATCCATATTCCAGGATGTAGCCAGGAAAAATATGGCCTGATTCATGTTTTGGTGTTTTCTGGGGAGGAGTTTTGTTTTGTTTTCTGTTTGTTTTTTTTAAAAGACACTGAATCAAAATGGCTTTGCAATGTTAATTATTCACAAGAATAAATAAAAACATAATATTTTGTGACTTGTGAACATTGAAAACAACTGAGATTTTAATAAGCATGTGCTAAATTGTGTTGGAACTTATCCATTTCCATTAGTTTATTTTACCTGGTGCTGCAAAGGTGAATACCACAGAGACCTTCCACATCCCTTGCTATCAAGCCCTTTCCACAGTTTGCTGACCCTGACAGAGACTATTGATAAAGGGTCTCTTGTTTTCTACAGTGCTATGTAAAGTATTTAGTCGTAGAAATTCTCATCATTTTAATACTAAAGATTTTATTAACATTTAATATTGATTGCCAGAATAGTCCTAAAAGTTAGATAGGTATTCAAAGTAAAATTGAAAAATAATAGGAAAAATGAATTTTGGCAGTGGGTAATGTGTCTATTTTGTAGTTTTCAAATTATATTTTTGATCTTAAATGAGGAAGTTATTATTCTATCACCAGTCTATCTAAGGGGTTTTTGAATTTGTCCTGTAGATTCAGTTGAATTTTTTATACTTGATCAGTTCTATTTTATTAGAAATTCTTTCTAAAAAGAGTCAGATCTCATTAGACTTTGGCATCTAATAATCCTGTATGACTGAAAAGAATTTTGGCAAACTCATTCATCTCTCAGGTGGAAATAGTATATGAATTTGTATAGGCTTTGCACCAAAAACAATTTGATATTCTAGCTTATCAGTGCCTTTCAGAACATATAACTTAACAGTATACATGCATATTACATTCCATTTTAAGTAATTTTCATTTTCCTCATTAAAATTAAAACCTCTCAAAACTATCTATCATGCTACTGATTGGAAATATTAGCAGGAGAAAATTTACTTTCTAAAAACCTGACCTGCAATATGTAAGAAATTCTATTTGTTAGTTCTTTTAAATGGCCTATCTGTCTAACAGAATTGTTCCTTGAGCTGGCACTAATGTTCAATAAATACTTGGTGACTGATTTAAAATATTTAAATTTCAAAACATGTAGTTAGAATTGTCTGACTTGAAGATTATTGATTGAGAATTCAGAAAAAGTGTCTTCTTCACAGGACTCACTGTGACATTTTCCTTGTACTTCAATGCTATGTACATTTGTACAATCTTCCTCAGGAATTTACCATATAATTTGGCTAAGTATCTGATATTTATAACAGTTTTTAAAAGAAGGAAAGAGTGTAATTAAATTTCATCATTAAAGTATTACATCTAGGGCTCAAGTCTAAAAATTATTTTGAAATTACCTTATAATTACTAAAATACAACTATTATTAAAGAGTGACAAAGTGATTTTTTTTAGTATTTTGAGCTTCAGGATTGGCAATACTACAAGAATCCTTGCATCAAGTAGTTTGGCTTAGTATCAAGATCTCTTTGGGCTCATTCAACCAATGTAGACATTGCTGCTAAGTGATTAAGATTTTCTTCCTTTCTGAAAGTAACAGACAGCAGAGTTCACTTTTTAACTTAATGAATCTTAGAGTAGCAATTACACAAACTGAATTTTTGTGTATTTTTAAACAAGACGATGTATTAGCTGCAGACTCTCCCACATACAAACACACATTATAAATTATACCATTTGTATGCACTTGGCCCTCATGTGATCATTTAGTTAAAATTTGTGCTTAAATCACTGACCTGGAATTGTCATAATGGAAGAATGTAAAAGCTTTCAAAATATAATAAAGTTGAAATTTACTTTAGCTCTTCCTTTGTTGTGTGCAGAATTAGTTCAATATCTTCTCTGAAGTAGATTAACAGGACCTTTAGAGCATTTTTCAAATAAGATATGATTAGATTCTTAATAAGTATCATTACATTTCCAGCAGGTTGAGCATAAAAAATTATTTTTGTGTGGAACAGAATTAATTGTGAACAAATGCTGCTATGTTAGAATTATGGTTTAGGAAGCCAACGTCAAGATGTTTTTTGTTGAAACATAATTTTTGACATTTAGGAGTTTTTAATTCCATCATTTTGTAACGCCTTATGCAACAACGCAGGAGGTTAATTCCACAGTGTTTTGAATTCCTAGGAGTCCTTCCATTGGCAGAAGCAGTAAGTGGCTGACAGTGTTTTGGCTGGTCTATTACCAAAATTCTAAACTCACAGTTTTTAGAGTACTGTGGAATCTTCCTCCATGTGCTCTCCTCTCAAAATCTTGAAGTTGAATTTTAAAAATGAGTAAGGTATTTAATCTTAGTTTTGAGCTGAATTGTGTGCAACCTATTTACCTATTACCCCAATCTATTTATAGAATGTTTATAATTCCCCAGACTCTGTGTTAAATAGCAGTTTCCATTTGATGTTATATGCAAAAAGTAGCTCATGTTACTGCCCTTCTATTGTAAAAGAACAAGCAATCTTCAGCAGGTACTTTGCCTTAAATTATACACAGCAAGAAATTGCAAAAAAGAACAGAAACCAAACAGTCTGGCTTTTAAAGTCTGTGTATTATTCATCACAGCTGAAAACACAAGAAAGATCTGAAAGGAAAGCATCTATCTTGTCGTAGTTTAAACTATAGATTATTTACTTTAGTTTCTTAATGAGATTAAAACATATATTGCTTGAGATCATATAATGTTTCAGTAAATATGTACATATACAGTGTTCATTATTAGGATAAACATATCCATCTCCTCAACCATTTGTCCTTTTATGTCTTTAAAAATATTTTTAATCCTTTTCTAGCTTCCTTGATATGAACCATATATTATCATTATGTGTACTTCTCCTAATCAGAATTTAATCACCAGAGAGCAACTTTCTCCTCACCTTTCCTTACTCAGTCCTTTTCCAGATTTTAGTCAGCAATATTCTACCCGAAATTAACTTTTCAGATTCTACATGTAAATGAGATCTGTACATTTTTGTCTCTCTTTTCCTGGCTCATTTCACTTAATATAATACCTACAAGTTTCATTATGCTAGTGAAAGTGACAGATCTTCATCCTCTTAATGATTGAATAGTATTTCACTATGTATATTTACCATATTTTTCTATCCATTCAACAGTTAGTGAAATGTTTTGCTTATTGTAAATAATGCTGCAACAAACATGGGTATGCAGATATAAAACATACTAATTTCATTTCTTTTGGCTATATCCCCAGATGAGGAATTGCAAGATTAGTGTGGTAGCTCTATTTTTATTTTTAATTTTTGAAAAAGCTCAATGTAGTGTTCCACGATGGTTGTACTAATTTACATTCCCACCAATAATGTGTAAGAAAGGGTTCCCTTTTCTCCACCTCCTCCACAACACTTGTGGGCATTCTGCAGCCATTGCTACTGGAGCTGTATCTCATTGTGTTCTTAATTTACATTTTCTTGGATTTTTCCTATATACTTCTTGGTCATTGTAAGGTGATTTTTTTAAAAAAATAAGACTCTATCTTGGTTAAGATTTATTTCCATGTGTCATGAAATTCATTCGTTCCCTTCTCACCAATCTGTAACTACTAGTCACAAAGGAGGCTGACAGAATAACTCATCAACAGTTACTCATGGGCAAGGAATGACAACTGTTTGAGGACATGGATTTACATGACCATGTTTCACATTAACCATGAACATTAGAGCATCACAGGATATCCCATTGTGTGAGCAATTTATGTTTTTATATATCAGTTAAAGAATGTTTAAGAAAGCTGGGCACCGGTGGCTCATGCCTGTAATCCTAGCTACTGAGGAGGCTGAGATCTAAGGATCATGGTTCAAAGCCAGCCTGGGTAGAAAAGATTCTTATCTCCAATAAACCACTAGAAAACTAGAAGTGGCACTGTGGCTCAAGAGGTAGAGTGCTTGCCTTGAGCTGAAGAGCTGAGGAACAGTGCCTAAGCCCAGAGTTTAAGCCCCATGACCGACCCCCCCAAAAAAAAAGTTTAAGAAAAATAAAAATATAATTTTAAAATTTCATAATGGATTGATTTTTTAAATAAATAACTATAAATAAAATGTATTGAATTTTGAAATAAGGTTTAGAGTGACTAGGAATAATAAATGTCCCTGCTAAAATTAATGTAAAATCTGAGCATTATGGCACACGCTGGTAATCCCAATGCTCAAAAAAATTGAAGAAGGAACATCAAGAGTTCAAAGACAGCTTGGTTTAGACAGATAGACTCTGTCTAATGAAATAAAAAGCAATGAAACTCTTTAATTAACATGACATAGAACAATTAACTGGATATTTGCCACACCAAAAATTCGTTGCAAGTTTGAATACATATGTATTTGAATTTTTAAACATAATTTCCTCATTTACATTTGGAGGTCATAACAGCATATATCATTTTTAAACAGTGGGAAGATGGGACAGAATGGACAGGAGCCTGTAAAACAGCCAGGAGTGGGAGTAACACTAGCAGACACTGAAGGTAGGTTAAAATTTATACTATTGCATTTTGGTACACCTACATACTACATTATCAATTCTTTCTTCTGAAATTTATATGCTATTGGTAAGATCATTAGATAGTAAATCACCACTAATGAATTAAAATGACTTTGTATTCATTTTAATAATTATGCAATGTTCCCATTTATGTTCAAAACTCAAATACTGAAATTTGAAGAGAATGAAGAATGAGCAAGATGCCAAGAAGACAGTCAAAGGCTTTCTCAGGGAAAAAAATAACTATGTTTCTTGAAAATTAAAGATGTAGCTTAAAATATGATGCAAATATTTCTAGAGCTTTAGAAAATGTGGTACATATATAGAATAGAGAATATTATAAAGATGAATAGAATTATGACATTTTGGGGAATGAATGGAACTGAAGATCATCATGTTAACTTTGAAAGCTCGCTTCAGAAAGATAATATTGCATGTTTTCACTCATATGTGAAATCTAGACCGATCTAAAAAAAATACTATGACAGGACTGGAAAAGGAGACTGTTCGGGAGTGTGAACTCGCAGTGTGTAGGTTGGAGATAAGGAGGTAGCTCTGGGTGAATACTAAAGAAATATAGCACATGTGTATGTATATGTGTATGTATATGTGTATATATATATATATATATATATATGTATATGTATATGTCTAAGAAATAGCCTGTGAGGGGCTGGGAAGGTGGCTCAGTGGTAGAGTGCTTACCTTGCATGCATGAAGCCTTGCGTTCGATTCCTCAGCACCACATAAGCAAGAAATAGCCTGTGAGAAGTCAGCATGGGAAGAACAAAGAAAATAGCTCAGAGTATCTCTGCGTGGCTAAACTCAGTATTGTACATGGTGATCCCATAGGTGCATCAAATGACACATGCTTGGACTCTATTGAACCTATTCCTCACTTTACCACTTTGACTCCTGTACTTTTTCATAATACAGGATTTGTACCATGGTTTGAATATTTTATTACTATTCTTTCATTTTAAATTACCTACTTTTATTCTTTTCTCATAAGAATGAAAAACTCTTTGACTAGAAATCTGCCTTATTCATGCTGGCATTCCAGAATTTACCAAAATGCCTTTCCCATGGATCTGCTTAAGGAATGGTTGTTGAATAGCCTGGTGTGGGATGGTACAAGCTTGTAATTCCAGCTAAAAATGAAATTTTCAGCTGCATTGCTGTCCAAAGCTGGCCTTCAGCAAAAATTTAAGACCCTCTTCGATAAACAACAAAGGCATAACAAGGAGGGAAGGTGGGCTGAGAACATAGAAGAGCACTTACTAAGCAGCATGTGACATGAGTTCAAACCTCAGTACCAAAAAAAGAAAAAAGATTGAGAGAATGAATAACCAATATGATTGTATGTAAAATTAATAGTTTTTCATATGCTTCTATGATTCAGGTATAGACAAAAGCAATTTATATTATTTTAGAAATTTTGTTTTCCCTTTTAACAAAGTTTATAAATAAAATTATTTTGGTAAAAATGTTAAGAGCTGTAAATGAAGAAAAACTGTTCACCCTATACTCTTTCCTTCTTAAATATCAGTCTCACAAAACGCTTGTTTTTGGAGATAGAGCCAATCAGAGAACACTTTATTTTACATAAACTGATGTTTCAATGTTTATATTTTGGTGAACCTGACCAACAGTTGATTTCAGATTAGTTATTGACCAGAAGAGCAGGATTGAGGGTGGGAACAAAGGTGAATATGTAATGCAATAAATTATTTATAGGCATGTTGTCTTTTGGGATAGCAGTATTTCAGTAAATTTCTTTTTACTTAGTTAAGACAGATCCTATATGATAATAAAAGTTCCACTTGTATTCATCAATAAAGCTAGCCTATATGAGATATGTGAAAGATAGCTAAATGCAAAAAATATTGACCTTTTAGAAACAATCTTAAGTTATGAAGAACATATGAACAGAGCAGGGAGAAAATTATGGAATGCATTTGCTCTGAGAAAATGGGAGATGGAATCAATTTATAGTGCAGTCTAGTTTCATCCATGTAGAAATAGGGAATCAAGTTTATATTGTACTTGAAGTATAAGTATGACTTACGTTGTGTTTTGTTTTATTTTGTGATACCCAAGAGAGCCTTTGCTTTCTTTTGTTGTTGGTGAATTTTAACTGACTACTCAATGGGAAAGAAAAACAAAATCAATGCAATTTTCTTTTAAACAAATATAGTTTCTCAATTGTATTTTATTCCTTCTAGCTGTTGAGAAGGCACTAGAGAAGCCAGTTTCTTATTGCTCTTTGTCTCTCTGTCTGTCTGTCTGTCTGTCTGTCTGTCTCTCTCTCTCTCTCTCCACCCCCCCCCACACACACACTGTTGTCAAAATAAATTATCCTTGGAATGTCCCATTTCATCTTGAGCTTTATGAACATAATGGCCCATTCTAGGGTGACCTGATCTGCAAACGTCTGATGTAGCATCAAAATCTAATATAAATCATAGATTATGTAATATACATAGACCAAAGTACAACAGATTTTAGGAAACCACTAGATAGTTTGTTTTCATAATATTTTTATTTTTGTTTTAGCATGTAATATACAGGATGAAAACATCAATATTTTATTTAGTTGAAACTTTCTGGTGAGAATGCTATTGGGGTTTTTAATGCAAAATAGCCAAGTCCTAGTGCCACTTCCTCTAACTTCTGATTTTAAAAAAAAAATCAACTTCCTAGTTGTGTTTTACTAATAATGTTTCATTTTATTTTCAACAATGACTCGTAAGTCATGAAATTAATTAAATAGATCATATTAAGAGCCCTATCCGAGGTTCTAGGATTCTGAACTAAGTTGTAGAAACAGAATGCTTTCTTGGACTATCTCTACTAATGAATGACTGAGTTTGTATGACTAAAATAAGAGAATAAAGTATAAATAGGTAGTTTTGGCACATGATTAACACCCTTTTGGTTGATGGATGAGACAGAGCCATTTGGACACCATCCAAAGAAGTGATATTATTCAGGACAGATCAAATATTGCACAACTGTGATATAAACCCATTTTGTTTTTTAAAACATTTAGATCAAGACAATTAGACATTCTAACTGTATGTAATTTTTCCCCAATTCACAATAAAAATTCTAACTAACACTCTGTGGATAGCCTTTCACTACATCTTTGATTAATTAGTATTTGATAGTGTTCATTTTTATCAGCACGTAGGCATCTTTGTAAAAATCACCTTTGTACAATTATTTTCCTGAAATGGATGTTTTCACACATTAGCAAGCATTGCGATCACAACTTTCTATGAGATTTGAATTTCTTGGCTGCATGCATCTTATTCAAAGGAGAAATAACTCTAAAAATATTTATTTTCAAGGACCTTGGGAGCCTGAATATAGTTTCAGTGAAAATGAAAATGCATTCTCTATTCTCATTAGACCAAAACAAGTAAAGCTCTACCATGATAGAGATGTAATAAGCTGCACTCTTGAATGTTTTCAAATAATTGAGTGAGAAAGATCATCCACAAGACATGATTCAATGCCTTACTGGATCTGTGTATTTTAAGCAAGCAATGAATGATGTATATTTTACTATGCTATATATTTCTATTTATTATATGTTATATAATATATTTTTAATATATAGTGAAAATGTTATTCGTATTGGCTTGTTTTAGGTGATAATGCACTTTATAGCATCTGTGATTCTATAATGTCAATTGTAGGACAGAAATGACACCTGCATTAAATAGAAAAAAAAAAACTACGTCTAAGAATTGCAGTACGTGATATTGATCAAGATAAACACTTTTAAAACATCATTCTCTCAGCTGGGCATGATTAGTTACTCCAACCTATACACCCAGTTACTTGGGAGGCAGAGATGAAAAAGATTGTGGTTTGAAACTAGCTTTGCCCAAAGTGAATAATATCCCCAATCTTAGTAAATAATCAAAACATGGCAGTACATACTTGTGAATGCACCTATTTAAAAAGTTGGGTAGAACTATCACAGTCTATAGCTGGCCCCATGAAGAAAACAAAGACTCTATCTAAAAATGATTAAATCAAAAAGGATAAGAAATGTACTTATTATCTTGCCCATGCAATTGTAACCCCTCTCTACAGTATGTTCACAAAAAATAAAAATAAAAAAAAGGACTGGCGATGTGACTTCTGTGGTAGAGTAGTAGAGAATTTGCATAACAAGTGTGAGGCTTTGAGTTCAAACACAAGTACCATCAAAAATTAATAACTTATGCAAATACTTTCTTCATTAACTAGAAAAAAAGCAAATGAATTAACTAGTAGGTAACTTTAAAGAGTTTACAAATTGGAATGGTGAAGTGCTCTGTGTATTAATTAATTAATTAATTATTTTTTTATTGTGAAAATACTGTACAGAGGGGTTATATTACATGGGCAAGATAATGAGTACATTTCTTTTTTTTCAGGTAAGGGGTTGGTAAAGAGAGAGAGCTGGGAAAGAGAGAGAGAAGAGGTAGACAAAAGAGAGAGAGCAGAGAGAGCTAGAAAAGAGCAGAGAGAGCATGAGTACATTTCTTATCAAGCATTGTAGCCTCCTCCTTTGTTTCCCCTTCCCATCCCTTCCCATCCTCCCCCCCCATCCAATCCTCCCCGCTTCCTCCTCCCCCACCCCCCACCAAACTTGTAAAGTTCATTTTGGACATAACGACTTGTACATCTCATTGTTGCAATGGGTCCACTTGTATCCCTACTTAAACGATTGTTTTTGCCCTTCCCCTCCACAAATTGTACCGACATCAAATACAGTGAAAGCAGGGATTATACCGTGGGGGAGGGACATACAAAGCAACAAAGAAATAATCTTATAAATGTGTTAGAAACAAAGCAACAAAGAAATAATCTTATAAATGTGTTAGAAACAATCGCATGAAAGAAAAAAAAAAACATTTGAATACATATCTTAGGGTTCATTTCCCTAACATCACCTTATCTGACCTTTTCTGCTTGACTCAGACA